ACGTCAACATCTGTGCACTGACTGACGTATGGACCATGAAGCTAAAGATAAAATGGAGGCCACACTTCGAATACCTACTTGAAGCACAACCTATGTATCACTATCTCGCTCTCTGTGGGCAGACTCTCTCTATCTAAATAAACAAAAAAAATATAAATTTGCTCAAAGTCAATGAAACTCAATGTAAAATCTTTATTTCTTGACATAGGTATCATTAAATAATAAGTGTAAATACTGGTAAAACGTTTTAGGAAGAAATTACTGTGAAAAATGTTTACAATGATCCAATGTCGGAAATCACGAAATAAACACTTACGCGTGGAATCTTAAGTCACTTCCGGGACAACACGTACTACCGCAACCACGCACTACAAAATTTTGCACCATTTCTTGTGATAAAACAATGATTAGGTCCTGTAAAAAATCTCAAACGAAATTAACTGCATAGTAAACAAAATAGTAAACAACCGCCATGATGGGCCGGATTGGGCCGATGTTGCCACATGGTACCGATTCCTCCGGTATTGGGATTGTAATTCCCTGGTTCGCCAACACATTAAGCCTAAACGGACGACAATTTTGTGATTTTTAATTTAACTACACCCAACATCAAATAAACCGCACTTTCCGCGACGCGAACTTAAAAGATTTTCTTTTGTCACAATCATGGTGCCCCAACAATATTGGTGTTATTTGAAAGCCCAATAAAGTTCCTTGCAGAAAAACACATTTAATTTCTAAATAAATGATTATCATATACCATAAATGTGACTTGAAAAGAGACCTCACTTTGGGCTCACCTCTGGGATCAATTAGACCCATTATGGTTATAAAACCAAATAATGATCACACGTGTCCTCTTTAACAGATGGATACCGATTAATCCCAACTTAACAGTTTTATAGCCATAAAAGTTGGCTCAAGCGTAATAGCTTATTTTTTTAAGAAGTGACTCTGGATCCTTCTAAAGACACATTTTTGGGGTAAAAACCTTTCCTTTAATGAAATTAAGTTTAGAACTAGGCTTTTAAATGGTGCCAATATTGGTGGGAAGTGGGGATGCATACGTTTGAAAGTGCTTGTTGCGGGAGGTGCGATTTATTTGAAGTAGAGTGTAGGTAATCGTAGTTCAAATATTTAATTATTTATTTGTTTAACTTCTGATTTAGTTAGTGAATTGGCTATTTCGAAGAATTAACTAGGAGATTTAAATAAGGAGATGGCAATACTACAGTCCACACTAAAAAGAGAGGTCGGCCCATAGAGAGCGAGATAGAGATAAGTAGGTATTTGACTCAAGTTTTTGTTCCAAGTGTAGCCTCCATTTTTATCTTTATTTATATGGACTTATTCCTTCCTAACTCCATGGACATTATAACAGTGTCGTATTTCACTTCAAAAATATAGCCCGACCAGCCTCCCTAGACAAAACGCACTTTTTGATCGAATCGAAAATCGAATCCGTCAAAACTCCATACAAAAAAGGGGCTTTTCGACCACTTTGCGACTGGTTTGCGATTATAATTTGCACTTTGTCTAGACCCACAGGAACATAAAAACCCTCGCCATGTTGCGGAAAACTAATGGTACTAATTTCTTTTAATGGCAACAGTAACTGAAAACTTCATTGTCATGTCACCTTGCATGTCAGTCTATTGCTGTCAAAGTGTAAACAAACTTTATTTTAAATGTACGCAACTGATTTTGTGAATTAAATTGCTAAAATCTTTTTATAGTCGTGAAAGAAAAGTGGTTCACAATGTGTTAAAGTATTTGTCGAAGAGAAATACTAAGGGTTCGGACAATATTTTCATTGAATAATGTTTCCGACAAAGGTTGTCATAATTGACTGACATGTTTATCGTATAGTACAGTCCANTGAAAACTTCATTGACATGTCACCTTGCATGTCAGTCTATTGCTGTCAAAGTGTAAACAAACTTTATTTTAAATGTACGCAACTGATTTTGTGAATTAAATTGCTAAAATCTTTTTATAGTCGTGAAAGAAAAGTGGTTCACAATGTGTTAAAGTATTTGTCGAAGAGAAATACTAAGGGTTCGGACAATATTTTCATTGAATAATGTTTCCGACAAAGGTTGTCATAATTGACTGACATGTTTATCGTATAGTACAGTCCACTATGAAAATTAGCTGTGGTTTGTTTCAACTACCTATTTTAAAAAATTTTGTCACTTTCTAAGTGTTGAATTTTATGGAATTGGGAAAGAAGTACCGAGTTTGAAGCGTTCATATGCAAACATTGCAGTTGAATATTCAAGTTCTGTGTTTCATTATTGATGAATAATAAAATAAATCCTACTAGCTCGATTGATGGTTTCATTTAATTTAATTAAACCAGGTTACCTATAATAATATTTTTTCGTTAATTTATGAAAATATCAAATTAGCCCGTAATCCTGAATCCTGATACATATAGTTAGCCTATTAATTTAACACAGGTACGACTGTACTCAGTGTTGCACTATCAAATGCAATTGACGCGCCTCTATGCCAGGGTTTTTATGTTCCTGTGGGTCTAGACAAAGTGCAAATTATAATCGCAAACCAGTCGATAAGTGGTCGAAAAGCCCCTTTTTTGTATGGAGTTTTGACGGATTCGATTTTCGATTCGATCAAAAAGTGCGTTTTGTCTAGGGGGGCTGGTCAGGCTATACAAAAAACATTGAAGTTTTGAAAATTGAGAAACAAAGATCCTTGTCTTTTTGTCTTCAATAACTCTATCTATAGCCTTGTCCCCCTTATCAAATCTTTGGTCAGAGACATTTTTATGTCCTGTTCCATTTAATTTTGAATTTAATGTCATCAATATAACATTTTTGATAAGATGAAACACGTAAGAAAAATAAAAATTATGGTACAGTTATTCTTAGCGAAACCGATATACGAACAAAACCGTTCTAATAAATGAACAGACCCGATGTCAATGTCATCAACGTCAACTGATTGATGTCAACAAAAATGGACGATGCTGGCTGATTGAACTGTTTTATAATTTTTGAGTACCTATGATTACGGAAGATATATAACTATTATATATCTTCCGTAATCAATAACATACTACTACCACTTTAGAATGATACTGAAATACACAAAAGGTAAATTCATCAATCAAGTAATAATTTCAGATTCGATTGTACTAGATTTGCAAACAAGATGAGTTTGAGAGGCATAAAATTGATCACCTTCGATGCAACGAATACTCTGTTGAAATTCCGCGTTCCCCCCTGGCAATATTACACACTTGTAGCACGCGATCATGGTTTTACTGGAAGCGAAGAAATGGTCCGAGGACGTTTATTAGACAGTTACAAAGGCATGTGGGATAAGTACCCTAACTTTGGCCGGTCAAAGATCACCTGGGAAGAATGGTGGACACAAGTGGTAAAGAAAACGTTCGAAGGTCATCTGCCTGCTAGCGCAAACATCGATACCATAGCTAACACGTTGATAAACGAGTTCAAAACATCAAAGTGCTGGTCAGTAGCTCCAGCTGGAGACCGGTTACTCTGCTTACTTCAAAGTCAAAACAAAACAGTTGGAGTGATCTCAAACTTTGACCCACGCCTCAATGAAATATTGCAAAGTGTTAAAATTAAAGACTATTTTAATTTTATCATAACATCCTACCAGATAGGGTTTAGCAAACCAGATGAAAGGATTTTTAAGCATGCTCTAGAGCAGTGTGATAAATTGGTCAAACCGCATGAGGCTCTTCACATTGGAGATGATGTGGAAAAGGATTACGAAGGAGCAAGGGCGGCCGGGTGGCGTGCCCTTTTAGTCTCTGAAAATATTAAATCTGAGATACCACCAGCTGAGGAGCATGTGTTCAAAAATTTAGAAGATTTATGTTTAGCAATAGAACAAAATAAAGTGCAGTTTTGATTAATTATGAGGTCTTGACTAACTTTAAACTTTGTTGCTAAGCCTAAACATGCTTGTTTCTGATGGAGTTTTAGATTTTGATATCTTAATATGTATTTTTTATCATTTTATATGAATAGTAAAATGTATTTATCTGTTTTTAGGTAGATATAGATAGCAGATACATAATAGGTACTAATGCTAATATTCCATCAAAAATCAAGTGTCAATTTTATTTGTTATTATTTTGTAAAGATTATAGTAGGTACTTAATTGAATAATTAATAATGTCGACTGTAACTAGCTCTGTTTTTGTACTAATTTATATCATTGGGTAACAAGCAGTTCTTTATTGTTATTTTATTAAAAATACCTATGATCATTTCAAATATTATGTATGTAGGTAGAGTGCAATGATTAGTTACTTATCTATTTATTTGTGTTTGACATTCTCATGTTATAAATTTTATTAGATTAGAATTTGATTTCACTTGCAGAGGATTGTTGTTTTATTATATTGAACCCTGTCAAAATTAATAGTTATTTAACTTTTCCTGAGTAATTTTTGGGCGATCCTAGATCTCATTCTTTAAAATGGTTGAATAGAAAACTGTGATCCTCAAAGTTCCAAATATATTTTTATTAAAAATAATTATAGCAACTACTAATAAGGGTATAAAGTGCTATTACTACTTCTACACCCGGACTAAAGTAGCTCATGCATGAACACACACTGAGGCACCCCTTTCATATCAGGTTTGATTGAGATAGAGACCACTTACAGACGATTGGGCGATAGTTCGGTCGGGCTGTTAATCAGTATGAGCATGTAGTACCTACTTAGTAAATAGTTACGCACATTACAATTTGGTATAGATACCTTTGTGTTTCCAGCTCCCTCAAAAGCCCTAGAGCAATTCTAAGTATCATCAAACGTTTCAGTCCAGTTTCATAACTATAAGATGACTATAAGCTGTTTTATTGGCCGATTCCTCGAACAATTTAGAAGCAGATCGACTATCGGCCTATCAAGTAGGTAGGTAAGGTCTGTAGTTTCAGGTTATTTTGGTGCTGAACTTCGTCTTCGGGACAGCATCAAGTATCAACGGCTACACGACACTGGTAGCAGTTGGCGACAATTAAGCCAGCTCGAAGGCAACGACAGCAGCGGCGATCTTCTCTGCTTCAGTAGAGGGACCTCTCCCTTTCTTCCCTCTCATTTATATTGTGGAGTTGATGCTCACGCGGAACTGGGACGTGGTTGCTAGGCTTGCTCGGGTATCGGGTATATCATTATATAACATGCAGAATCTCAAAACCTTAGTGGCAGCAATACACGACTCGTAGAACGAAGGAAAACGTTGTGAGGCAAACCTCCCAGTTGTGTGGACGGATCTGGTAAATGTCGATCAGGAACATTTATTCCAATCCACCCCCTTGCTTGCCCGACAGCACAAGACCGATTGTTATAGAAATCCTTTGGAGTCGCATTTGTCCAGTAAATGCCTGTTGGCCCCCAAAAACAAGACCGTGTGTAGTACATATTATTTGTTTTCACATAATAAGCTCTTGATATACCTAATTTACGATAAATTCTTAGCGCCTAATAATTTTACTACGGCAATGTGGCCGCTACCAACCGGTCAATATGGAAATCGTTGGGGGAGAGGAGGCCTGTAGGTATTCCAGTACACGTCCTGTGGCTGAAATGATGATGACGATTTTACACTTTTAACGGAAATGAAGAAGAACCTTTGCAATACTATACAATCATTTTTGAAGGACAAGGAGTGTAGGGTAGGTAAGTTAATGCATCCATCTGAATACTTTTAAAAAGTTTTATTGTATTGTATCAAATCTAGCCCTGTTGAATGAGTGATATAATAGGTATCCAACAGTGACTACTACACACTACTGATTACTTGAATAAATAAGTCGCACACGCAAATGTCTGCTTATAAGCCAGACCTTGCCATACAATGCAGAGTTTACTCTTGCGGTGGCTGAGCGCAGTTCATGAACATATTCATGTCGAGGAGTAGATCCTCATCATTTTCAAAATCTTCGTCCTCGTCCTCCTCCTCCTCCTCCTCCTCTTCAAACTGCTCGATGCGGAATGCATGACCTCCACCTGTAACAATGTTCAGTTAGTATAAAATAATAACAATGTAATTTTCTTTTGTTATTTTTGCTTAATAATGATTTTACATCAAAATACTCAAATCACAAAGCAAACTTTAAACAAACCAATTTTTACTGAGGAGCACTTATTAGGTAACAAATAAGAAGTTTGATCAAGAAACTTACCGAACATTGGCGGAACGCCCAAATCAAGAGGCAGCGAGTTGCACGTAGCCTCATTCTTCAGAAACTCAGCAAGGGGTGAATCAGGCTCCACAAACGGCTCAGACGCTTTGCTTGTTGAAGCAGCCACTTCGTCTGTAGTAGAAGCCGCATTGCTTGTTGTAGCAACCGCTTCGTCTGTTGTAGCAGCTGCTTTGCTTGTTGTAGCAACCGCTTCGTCTATTATAGCAGCCGCTTCGCTAATTGTAGCAGCAGCCATTTTGCTAGTTGTAGCAGCCACTTTATCTGTTGCAGCAGTCGCTTTCATTGTTGTAGCAGCCACTTTGTCTGTTGTGGCAGGCACTTTCTTTGTTTTAGGGGTCTCGGGAACTTTAAATACTTCAGCTGTAACTGTTTCAGACGTTTTCTTTGCGGCCCTTGATGCTGCCTTCGCTGCAGCCTTTGCTGCAGCCTTCTTTTTCTTTTCTTCATTGACTCTCGCATAATGATCTGGAGGCAATGTGGGGATCATCGCTGCTCTCATCGCTTCCAACTGCATCCTTTCAATCTGTAACAAAAGCCTTTACTTACTATAACAGAATATAAAAAATAACGTGTACTCTCTCTATGATAATAAACTAGATCCTATACCCTAATAACGTAGACGTGAGCACAATTTGAAATCGACATACTTAATTAACTCAATAACGCCACAGTCATTCTCTAATGAGACGACGATTCCCTCCCCCTTCCATCCACACTCTCCACTCCCTGCTCCACCTTAACTTCCCCTACTATTCCCACTCTCTATGGGTATAATGTTGATCCTACTTGTAAGTAGTTATATTATATCCCTTACTTTGATTCCCTTTTTTTCTTGCCCCATCTTCCCTTTTCACTCAATCTTTTATCATTTCTTAATATTTTTTTTGAAGGCAGGCGGAACGCCGGTACTAAGGGCTCTTCAGAAGCTGTTCAATTCCGTCATCCTCGAAGGAAAAACGCCTACGACATGGCACAGAAGTGTGGTGGTACTCTTCTTCAAAAAAGGTGACAAAACCTTGTTGAAGAATTATAGACCCATCTCACTTCTGAGCCATGTCTACAAGCTGTTTTCGAGAGTCATTACGAATCGTTTCGCTCGCAGGCTCGACGACTTCCAGCCTCCCGAACAAGCCGGTTTCCGAAAAGGCTTTAGTACCATAGACCACATACATACGCTAAGGCAGATTATACAGAAGACCGAGGAGTATAATCAACCACTTTGCCTGGCGTTCGTGGATTATGAAAAAGCCTTCGATTCGGTCGAGACCTGGGCAGTGCTACAGTCTCTCCAAAGGTGCCAAATTGACTATCGATATATCGAAGTGTTGAGGGGTTTGTACAAAAACGCCACAATGTCGGTCCGCCTCCAGGATCGGGACTCGAAACCTATCCAGTTGCAGCGAGGGGTAAGACAGGGAGACGTCATATCTCCAAAACTGTTTACCACCGCCCTGGAAGATGTCTTCAAGCTTCTGGACTGGAACGGATTTGGCATAAATATCAACGGCGAGTACATCACCCACCTTCGATTCGCGGACGATATCGTAGTCATGGCTGAGACCTTGGAGGATCTAGGCACAATGCTCGATGGCCTCAGTAGAGCCTCTCAACAAGTGGGCCTCAGAATGAACATGGACAAGACAAAAATCATGTCTAATGTCCGTGTTGCACCCACTCCTCTGAAGGTTGGAGACTCTACACTCGAAGTTGTTGACAATTATGTATACCTGGGACAAACAGTCCAGTTAGGTAGGTCCAACTTCGAGAAAGAGGTCAATCGTCGAATCCAACTCGGATGGGCAGCGTTCGGGAAGCTTCGCCATATACTCACGTCCGAAATACCGCAGTGTCTCAAGACGAAAGTCTTCGAGCAGTGTGTGTTGCCAGTGTTGACATATGGATCCGAAACGTGGTCGCTTACTATGGGCCTCATAAGAAGGCTCAAGGTCACCCAAAGGGCGATGGAGCGGGCTATGCTCGGAGTTTCCCTGCGTGATCGAATCAGAAATGAGGAGATCCGTAGGAGAACCAAAGTAACCGACATAGCTCGCAGAATTGCTAAAATCAAGTGGCAGTGGGCGGGGCACATAGCTCGTAGAGACGATGGCCGTTGGGGCAGGAAAGTTCTCGAGTGGCGACCACGGGCTGGAAGACGTAGCGTGGGCAGGCCTCCTACTAGGTGGACCGACGATCTGGTAAAGGTCGCGGGAAGAGCCTGGATGCGGGCAGCGCAGGACCGTTCATTGTGGAAAACCTTGGGGGAGGCCTTTGTCCAGCAGTGGACGTCATTTGGCTGAAAAAGAATATTTTTTTTAGATATTTTTCTCTGTAGAATCTTTGAAACTGTTCATATTGTATGGACTGTGATACTTTGGCTACTTCAAGTTTATTTTTGTTTTTTGTATCAGGGTTCGAAAGGATAATTATCATAATAATTATCGTGATAGTAACAGATGGATAAGTATCGGTTGATAATAACAAAAAAATGCGCTCGTGAAAATTAACTGTATTCGAAGTTTTCAAACGTGTATTTCCGCACTTGCGTCTAGTGATGAGCTTTAATAAACATACTAGATAGTTATAAAACCTATCTATTTAGCTCCACAATGATCACTAGTTATCTAGCGTCAAAATATTTATCAATTTTTTAAGCTAAGTTATGCGACTAGCAATGGATAACTTGACAACAATTAGCAACCAATAACATAAAGCAACATCGCAATCAGAATGTCTGATGAAACAATATGACAAATGTTCTAATACTGTTGATAATTATCATGAAGTGTAATTATCTTGATAATTTCGAACCCTGTTTAGTATTGAATTTAGTAATTTATGGTAAATTGTCCCATATTTTAGCAATTAAGTAGGAAAAGGTTTTCATAAATAAACTTCGAAGCTACTGTCATAATAATACTATAATGGATCATTATTTACTATTAGTTGTGTATAAACCTGCTGTCTACAATTTAACAATATGTTGTTAACAGTAAACCAATGAAGAACTTGTGATGTGTAAGTACGTATCATTTAATTAAACTGACTAATTTTCTATACCTCTATCAACTTTAAAAATGAGAAATGTGTCTTTAACAAAAACCACCTAGGTATGTAGATCTTTTTACAAAGTAAGTAAAATCATACATTTAATTAAGGAATAGCAAAGGTCATAATATTGATCCCTGCGGCATACAAAAATATAGCTAACTGATATTATATTAAAAATTAACTGGATGAGAAATAAATACTAATAGACAAGTTTTCATGTACAAAAAATATTTTAGATAATTTATTAGATTTGGCAAGGCACTCACTCTTGCTCACTTTTTTTTTCTTTTGACTAATCGGGGTTCATTTGGTTCAGTTCATCAGGGACTTTGAAGGCAGAGTGGTATCAAATTAGTATTAAGGCGAGACCAATAATATAGGTTTGCACATAGGTGTTTAAGAAATGAGGACAATCGCTTAAGCCATTTTCACCATTCTGCCCGAGGGAGTTTAGTTTTCTACTCAGGCCATTCGCTATTAGCATTAAATTACCACTCAAAATCTATGAAAATAAACACTTAATAATTGAGTATTTATAGTAAAAAAAAATATCACCTGTTTACAGCTAGCAAAACAAAACAAAAGGTTTTTTTAAACAAATCAAAATAATAGTCGCTAAGCCAATATTATCTAGGTACTTCTCGCACCTTTAGTTTCATTTGCCAATATTCAATTTTTAAAATAGTCAACTGTCGTGGAAATAATTAATTGCTAGCTGAAGTACCTACCTATTAAAGTAGGTAGTCGCAAGCAGTTATTTGCCATTTATGTTTAGTGTAGAGTCGTGGTAATTATATTAAATCTCTTAACGCATCACTCGTTACATGGGTATAAAATTAATTAACCTCTTTCAAAAATTAAATAATTAATAGTTAATTGCAAACTTACATGTAAAGCATTACGCTGAGCTCTGATTTTCACCAAAGCCTCTTTAATCCATTTTTGCTCAGCTAGAAGCTGAGCTTCTTCACGAATGCGGCTTTTTAATGAATGATATTTAGCGTCATTCATGTTTACTTTGTAAACATTTACAATCTGATAAACACTTTAAATATTTTGAATTGTTTTCACCGGCCGGCTGGAACACAGAAGAGAGAGAGGCATGTCCAAAACGAGCGATCGATCAACAGGAACGACTAGGGATGTAACGATATATCGAATATTCGATAAATATCAATGTCATCCCTCATCGATGTTAGAATTATAGCGCAAAATTATGACAGATAACGATGTTGTTAATCATGGTTTTGTTGATTGTGTAGGGCAAAACACGCGCTGGAAACCCGGATTTAGGCATATCGGCAACAGTGTTAACTGCCCATCGCCGGTCATGTTGTCTCGTTCTATCGCAAGAATCACCATTTGATGAGAGCGAGAGCAAAAATGGAAATGGATAGTTAACACTGTGGTCACGGTAATACTATCTATACAGTATTCCAACTCGGCCATATCTATCTATCTATCTATCTATCTATATTATATAAAGCTCGATTACCACTGACTCACTGACTCACTGATCAGGGGTATTTTTAGGGTATTTAGAGGGGAGGGGGGTAAAATTGTTAGTGTTTGTTTTTAACTAGATTTTTTGACTGACAGCTTTACCACATTTTTTGAACCAAAAAACAAAATGGCGGCACTTTTTGAAACTTCAACTTTTTTGTTTTTCATCCTGAATTTTTTCCTTTTTGGTGGTTTGTTGGGGTTGCCAAGGTGTGTTAAAAAATGTGAGAAAAAAATGGAAAAACAAAATGGCCGAGCCGCCATCTTGGATTGAAAATGCGATTTCGAGGTGTTTTTAGGGAGGTGTCACTCCGAGATGCGCAATTGTTTTTGAAAATTTCTTTTAGGTATTTGTGACATGTATAGTCTTCTTAAGAGCCACATTTACAGATTATCAAAAAACAAGATGGCGGCTGAGCCGTCGGCCATTTTGTTGCGATCAAAAAATTTCTAAACTTTGACACCAAATTTCGAATAGATGGCGACACCGGAGTGGGGTACAATGTTCCGGGCGATTGTTGGTCTGTTATTCGAGTGTTGCCATGAATAGGAAAAAACTACCATTTTGGAAGAAAATTTTCCACCACGGCCCCGGATAGTAGAAAATGGAAATTTCCAAAAATTCCATAAACTTGGAATGCAGTCTGGTGACATTTGGGGACCCGAATGACATTTCACCATTTTTATGAAAAAAGTCTGGCAACACTGAAAGTTATGGGGAAAAGTTTTTTTTGCGACATGGGTGTCTTTAAAGTTAGTGACAGACAGAAAGAATTATGGCAGAAAATAAATAAAAATGACGTTTGGTCGGATATACGACCCAGATTATGGGAAAAATCCGAAATGTCAAAAAATCAAGATGGCGGCGGCGTGGGCGGCCATTTTGTAAAAAGTTGAAAATTTCGAAATTTTGGAATTCATTTTTCGAGTAGTTGGCAACATTTTGGAAAGTCGAGTTGTATGAGGCGGTTGTGTGTCTTGTCGAGAGGTTTCGCTTGGGTGAAGAAATTTCTCCAGTGTTGCCATACTTTAGGAGATTTGGTCCAAAAATGTCGAAAGTAGAAATAACGACTTCCGGTCAAAAATTTGGATGACGCCTCCTGCAAAGGGGTCGTGCAAATGACATTTGACCATTTTCATCTCGATCACCTGGCAACACTGGGAGCTACGGGGAAAAGTATTTTTTTCGACATGGGTGTCTTTAAAGTTAAGGACGGACAGAAGGAGATATGGCAGAAAAAATCCAAAAATGGGGTTTGGTCGGTTATACGACCCAGACTATGGGAAAAATCCGAAATGTCAGAAAATCAAGATGGCGACCGAGTGAGCGGCCATTTTGTAAAAAGTTTCAGATTTCTGATTTTTCAAATGCATTTTTCGGGCAGTTGGCAACATTTGGGAAAGTCGAGTTGTATGGGGCGATTACGTAGTTTGTCAAGGAGTATCGTTTGGGAAAACAAAAATTTCCAGTGTTGCCATACTTTGGAAGATTTGGTCAAAAAATGTAAAAAATGGAAATAACGACTTCCGGTCAGAAATTTGGATGACGCCTCCTGCAAATAGGTCAAACTAATGACATTTGACCATTTTTAGCTCGATGACCTGGCAACACTGGGAGTTACGGAAACTCAAAATTTTGGGACATGGGTGGTTTTAAGGAATTGTTTTACGGGATTGGGTGAAGTTAGAAAAAAAGTAAAAATGGGGTTCGGCGCGGAAAATGGTCCAGATTAAGGCAAAAATGCAAAATTTTGGAAATCCAAGATGGCCGCCAAGCGTTCACCCGTTTTCCTAAAGGGACTAAATTCTCCATACAAATTGTATGCAGGGGGGCTTAGCTAACGTAGAAAAAGGCGAGGCCGAAGGCCGAGCGATAGTTTAAAGCCTGATAGTCGCCATAGATTTATTTTTAATGCGTCAAAAAAGGACTAGAGCCCAGTGACAGACAGAAAGGCGAGGCCGAAGGCCGAGCGATGGTTCAAATCCCGACAGTCGCCATAGATTTACTTGTGTTGCGTCAAAAAAGCACAAGAGCACCGTGACAAACGATAAACGCCCCGTGTAATTTTTGCGAGGCCGAAGGCCGAGCTCCGAATGCGAGGCCGCAGGCCGAGCGCCGCGTAGGGCGAAGCCCGGAGCGGCCAGCATCGCAGATCTAGCTTTTGTAGCCCGCGTAGCGGGCGACCAAAGCTAGTTTTTGAAATAAATGTCAACAGCCCCGCGGTACGTCACGGTATGACAACATGCGATAGGGCTGCTCACCTACAGTACCCATTCTAATTACATCTGTCTACTTAGAATTTCTATCTAGTATTGTGATTGTACCTAATTTTTTTTTATTTAGACAAACAAAATACTTTTTGAATGGAATAGGATAAAAATGCGTGTTGTTTTGTGGTTAGTAGATTTAATTTAAAAAAAATATACTAAAGTAATTTTGAATCTACTAATCATAATGACCGGTTACTTTAATTTCAGGCGGGTGAAGTCGTGGGCCAAAGCTGGTTTTAAATACAATATAATTTTCATTTCAAATCAAACTGACTGAAAATGACCATTTCTGACAGTTAATGACTAGGTAGTTTTTGAAAAATTTGACCGTTTAAGACGGTAAGTCAAATTCAATCAACTTAGTCATTTTCAACACTAGGCCATCGACGTCCGTTCGGCACATTCGCGACACCCCTAACTTTTACTTTCGACCGCGTACCGAAATTTGAAATTCGAAGGAATGCTCGCGTTTCGTCGGTTTATATGAAGTTACAATACTGTATGATATTATTACCGTGCTGTGGTCGTGCCGTGTGTACACTGATCTAATATTTGAATACAGAATCTATCTATACAAAAGCTGTTTAAAAAAGATTTAATATTTTATACACGAATGTGTGCACATAATCTTTAAGTCGGTGGGTCTAGATAAACAAAGTGCAAATTATGTATAATCACAAACCAGTCGAAAAGCGGTTGAAAAGCCCTTTTTTGTATGGAGTTTTGACGGATTCGATTTTCCATTCGATCAAAAAGTGCATTTTGTCTAGGGGGGGCAGCTTTCCAATTTGGAACTTCGAAAGAAATTGGCGTTTTGGGAATTAGGTAAATAAGGAAAAAAGTAGTTGTTCCAAAACATTAACAAAATCGAATACATGTAGGTATGTAACTTATGTAAGGTGACTCACAAGTAAGTGAGTGACACAGTCTTGTACAGATCAACAATATGCCATCTGCAGGGATATTAATCAAGGCGTGTGGCATCTACAAGTCCAAGATAGACTGTAGACCGCAAACTGCGAGCCACCGCGGTTTCTTTGACTTTTTCTTATTCACTATGGTCAACCGCAGTCTCTAGCCGCAGTCAGCTGCCGCTCGCAACGAATCCCTATAACCCGACGCGAGTCAGGTGAATGTGGAGTGGGAGTATTCCCGCGTTGTTCACAAATGTCCGCTCACCATTCACCTCACCCGCTCGCGCGATTATCTTAATGCACCATTAAACTGATTTATAGCTATTTGTTGAATAACACTTTGGCTTTCTGTTCCTCTCCCTAGTTTCACATTATAGTTTTGAAATCGATAAAGTATCGATTAAAGGTATCGATATTTTCGTTTACTTGCATCCCTAAAAACCGCCCTCGATCGCGCCCTTCGCGCCACTCGCGCCACGCGCATCTCGCGCGAGACATAACAAAACAAAAACGAGACATTATTGATTGATTCCCCATCCCATGTCCATCATCATCCCTTATCACCGGGGCTAATAATTACCTATAGAATGGCGTCAGTTGTTATGTATGTGGGTACTTGTAGGTAGGTAACATCTCTACTCCTTTTCAGTGTTACATCCACAGATATGGTTACATCTATAGTTACATCTATTAACATTTCGTAATTTACCTAGGTACCTACTTAGGTACTTGCCTAACAAAAATCTACACTTAATAAAATAGGTAAGAATAATTTATTTTTATTAATAATTTATTTATTTTTATGGTACAAACTACAAACTAAGGGTACAAAGGGTAAGTTACATTACCTACCAGGGGCGGTAAATTACCTAAACGCTGATTGCTATAGTTACATTCAGAAAAAATAATATAATATAAATTAGACATTTTTTATACCTTCATGTATTGGTATTATACAATTTTTTATACTAACTAAAATAATCGTGAAAAGGTTTCTTGGCGGGAAAGTGAAGTAAGTGTAGAGTGTAAGTAGAGGTAGGTATGCCGCATTTGAAAATTTTGTGACTAGCTACATATCTGACTGTTTATTAGGTAATTGCTATTATTTAATATTAGTGGATTTATATAATAACGTGATGAGTGTTTGTATTGGTCTTGGCAATTAATTTATTATAAAAAATCGTAGTAAAACATAGTGCAAGATTACAATTTTCTCAAGATGTCCTTGTCAAGTTTTTGTTTAACGCTACATTAATCTAAGAGCGCCACATAAATCAACGGTAACTTATGGGGATTTAAACAAACGATTATAAATAAATCCTTTCATCATACAATACAGTTATAATAATTACAGGATCATTATAAAAAGTTACTAACTGAACACTTGGCTTCAAAGCATAACGCCTTTGCCTTTGCTTATAAAAGGAACGTGAAAACTTAACAATGGAATGGAAAGCAAAATTTTTTAAAATTTCTATATGGCAACACTAAAAGCTGCTGCGCGTCCATGTCAAGTGAGTT